GGGGGGGGGGGGGGAGAATCGATATTTTACTCGAAATCTTTGCGGATAACAGACCGGATCGTGTTTTTAAAAAAAAAAAAAATAATAATAATTATAATGAAAATTTCACTCTGTATATGTCGTTATAATAACCGCGTGTTAAATAATTGGTTTTTTTTTTTTATTATTATTATTATTTTTTTTTTCTGTTTTAAACGTCCGGAACGTCAACAAGTCGTCGTCGCGCTCAATAATACCAAACAACTCGTGTATTATTTATTAGTATCGCCGTCAACTACGGCCGCGGTGTGCCGCGCTCGTTTTTCCCCTGCTCGATCTATAAACGCGCGCCGCGTACGCAATACCGCGGTGAACAAAACAAATGTTTCAAAAAAAAAAAAAAATTCGCGTGTCGTATAAACAACAATAATACGCGCATTGGAACGCAATGATAACAATGACGGTGATAATAATATGTACGTTGCGCGACAACGGTACAACACCGGGTTGCTTATCGTATCGGGATCGAAAGAGCGGCCGGGCGCGTGCGGCGACTGTTTGTTGTGGTGCGGTCGGCGTATTGCAAAAAACGCATTGAAAAAACGCGTACCAAAAAAAAAAAAAACACGATACTGCGTGTTCCGAGCGCCGTGTCATTATCGCGTATCGTCCCGTCGGCTCGGATCGGTTGGTGGTCGCCGTGCGCGCGGGAACGTCGTCCGTCGAGAACTCTGCCCGAAAAGTGACGCGTCGCGATGTTCCGAAAACGCGGGCGTCTCGTCCAGTGGATAAACCGCAGCGCTCGAGACCGCGGAAATCGTTTGAAACGCACCGCGAGTATAAGTATAAAGCCCTCGCCTAACAGCCGGCAGCGAATCCGTACCGTTCTCGTACGTATTTTACTACACCGGGGGGGTGCCGTCGCGGGAACCCGTCATTTTTTTTGTATTTTTTCTGAACTTATCAAATAGCGTCCCGTTCGTCGTCCGGCCTGCGTGTCGGTATTTGAAATTATTACGGTAACGCGTACGACAAAATAACAACATATATAAATCCTATTCGATCGCCGCCCGCCCGCGTATCGGTGGGGGGGAGGAGGGTTTGTAAAAAACCGAACCTCGCGGCTACCGTCGTGCACGTTGCGCCGTCATATTGTGTGTGTTTTTTTTTTTTATTATTATTATTATTATTATTTATTTAAAGTCTGGATTCTATCGTAATTATTATTCATTGTGGGTTTTGTTTTTGTTTTTTTATCAGATCACACAAAGAACAACATGAAAGCTGCCGCGGACCATTACCACAGTCATCACCAGAAGCAGAAGCAGCAGCAGCAGCAGCAAAAGAACAGCGGTTTCAATCAATCGGACGACGAAAGAAATTAATCGCGGCGCGCTTATCACAATTTAATATCATATGAAAACGCAACGGTATTGTTCGGGGGAACATCGTAATCGTAAAAAAAAAAAAAAATATAAAAAAAAAATAATAATATTAGTGTGTTACATTGTACCTAACTCGCAATGATCTCTAGCCCAACTATTCGTTATAATATTATATAAACGATTTACAAATTCAAAAAAAAAAAAAAATAACAAATAAAAAAAAAAAAAATACTATAATGTCATAATGATATACAATCTTCTGCGTCTATCGTCTAGTACCACCTATTATACTGATATTGTTTTTTTACTCAGCTCTTACTTATCTTAAAATTATCCTCGTATTGTATTTATTTTGTCCGCGCGTTATTTAATTTAGGTTTATTTTTTTTTTTTCGGGAAAAAATTATCGGGTTATAATATCATTGTTTTTTTTATTTTTTTGGCGCTCTATATAATTGTTTTTATCGTTGAACGATTATTTTTCAATTTTTTTTTAATTTTTTTTTTCTCTGTCAAATATACATATTAAACAACATAATAATTACACTGTTGCATTATTAGCGTTGGCCGGGAGAGATTAAACGTAATTTGTATTCTATATTTACGCGTATATATGTAATTGTGCCGTATGGCAATTTCGGGATATTATTATGATGTTAAGAGTTTAATTGAATTAAACATTTGCGGGGAGGGCAAACAGAAAAGAACGAGGGAACATGTTCGGACAATCGTCGATATTTTTTTTTTTTTCTACACAACTATTTTTACAGTAATATTACAACGTATATAATTACAAATAACCGTTTCGGAATATTATAAATACGGCCGCGGCGGTGTAATTTAAATAATATAATATTACGCTGTTATTATTATTATTTTTTATTATTATTATTACGTGGAACGAACTTATAAAATAATTATTCACTCGCGCGCCGCGTCTGCGCGAACTCAGATAGGAGAGGTCAATAAAAACTATAGCAAAACAATACAAAATACGCTGGCGGCCGCGAGCCGCGTAGTTTCGAACCACAAAACATTATAATAACCGTTAAATTTTCTCGTGTCGGTTTCCTTTTTTCTCTCTCTCTCTCTCTCTCGCTCTCCTTTCGGGTTTTTTTTTTTTTTATTGCCGTCCTCCGGACACCCGGGACGATTTTTCATTTCCGTTATTATCGATAAAAATTACCGACTTGTATATCGTATGTGTATGTGTACGATACACACACACACACACACACACACATATTTGTTTAGCATTTATCCTACTCTTGCCTCTTATATAAAAATTAGTATTTATCCGTGCTCGATCACTCCGATACTCAATGACAGCCGTATAAAATAATATATTTTCAATTATGTTATTACGTATTTGCTGTATAAAGAAAAAAATATTGTATGCAATATAAATGCTAGTCTAATTTGTTACGGTGGAAAAAAAAATATTTATGCGTTATATAAATATATTATATTATTATTATTATTATTATTATTATACTATTATAATATATATTAAATGAAATTATATCATTATATATTGTTTATTTTCAAATTATTATTATTATTATTATTATTATTATTATTATTAAATATTATTCAAATTTTTTTTTTTTCTCTCGCTAAACTACTATTTCGATACGATGCTTATACGCATTTATTTTATATACTTATTATTATTATTATTATTATTATTATTATTATTATTAAAACTATTTTACATGTAGGTTTACATTTGCTTGACAATAACATGATAATTATTATTATATTTTGCATATAACGGAGACGTGTTCTCGGTTGTTTTTTTTTTTTTTTTATTATTCGCAAAACTATTATCATTACTGTTTGAATAAATATAGCAATAAGTAGTAGGTTATCATTGTATATTATTATAGCGAGTAGTGTACGTAGAAAAAAAAAAAAAAAAAATTAGAACATATTATATGCGGAAAGTGTCATTGAAATATATTTTATATTTATATATTATACGTTGGTGTTTGACGACAAAAAATATATAAAAAGTCTTTTTTTTTTTTTATTATTATTATTTTAGTGCCTGCCGTTTATTCCCGTAGAGATAGTATGTAGTATAGATACTATGTAGCTACCGTGCATACACATATTTTCCCGCCGAAAGTTCGTTTCCGGTACGCGCGTGTTTCCCCCGGACCGTGGGACAAAAAGACAATAAATGTTAATAACAAGAAACCGTGGTGATACACGTGTACGGCGTGCCGTGTCTAAGTAATTGGACTTTACACACACACACACACACACGCGCGCGTTTAAGTATGGAACGGCGAGTGGGAAGAAGAGCATCGCCGTGGCAAACGGACGGATGCGCGGCTGCTCCCGAATAGAAGAAGAAGAAGAAGACCGGTGTGCGCAATTACACTAATGCGACGCGGACGTGGGATAAAACATGTCCGGCGTATAAAAAGTTCTGAACGCCCGTGTAGATTTGAATTCGGTGTGCAGCGCGCGCGGACGCCGTTCGGTCGTTAATTTTCGAAATGCGATTTGGAAATTATTAAAGGAAAAAAAAACATCTAAACCGGACGGCGGACACGCGAGGGCCGAGGGACACTATGCATTCGTGACGTCCAATCGGGATTTATCGCCCCAGAGGAGTCCCGGGGGCGCGCGTACGGAAAACGCCTTTCGCGTGACGTTCGTCGTGCCGCCGCCGCCGCACGGGCGCGCGATACACGCACACGTGCGGCGCACGTTTGTGAAAATAATACAACGTGAATGTAACCGGCAGACGAACGCGACGGGAACGGCGGGCCGCGCTCTTTCACCGGGCGCGCGCGCGCGCGAGACGTACACGAACGATATCCACCGCGGGAGACGGCGAAACGCCGCGCGACGTCCGCATCCGGTCGTACGCGTGTGTGCCGCCGGCGCGGGCGATAAGTAAGTCGCACGGAGGCGGCAAGGGCCGGGCGTATCCGGTCTCGCGGTTTGCCGCGGTCGACGCCAATACAAACCGCCGTTTCCGTCGGCGCGTGCAACGGTAATTACTCATTGCCGAGAACGGGGACAAATCCACCCACCCACCCACGCACACACGCGCGCACCCTTCCGCCGGTGTACACGTGGTTGGCACGCCTACACGGGATGCTCGCGGTGCTTTTCACGGCGGTTTGTCGGTGCTTTCCGTCGCCCCGTGTAGATCGGCCGCCGGTTTAATTTAAATAACAACCGCGTCTCGAAAAGAAAGGAAACGCGATCTTGAAATCGTACGCATACCGCGGGGGTTTTTTTTTTTTTTTTCTTGCTAGACCAGATAAAAACACGCGTCGGTGACCAAAACACTCACTGTACTGGCCGAAAACGGTTCTGCCCCGACAGTTAAGTCTCCCCGTACACCGGGACCGAAAATACATTTGATTTTAGGGGACGCGCTTTTTAATTCGATTGTTGTCTTTAACCGATTCCGGTGCCACAAATGAAAAAAAAAACCCGTGGGAGTTGTAGCGGCCGAAATTCCACCGCCTTTATTTATATACCACTTGCCTTGTACGTTTGTATTGTGCGCATCGTGACGTTTGGACAAAAAATACACAAAATAAATACGGCTAAATGTTCGTGCACGTATAACATATACGTGGATAACCGTGGTTAAAACGTATGATGTTTTTGTATGAAATAAATAACGAGCAAATTGTTATCGATTCGTATTGAAGTAAATCGATTTTAATACGTTTGTGTTCAAATTCCAATATGTCTGTTATTTTTAAAATTAATACTAAAAACACGTTGTGAAATTTCGGACACGCGTTCGTCATTCTTGGGGGACACAATTTGATTTTCAGGGGACACAGTATTGTAGGCCCTGCCGTACATTCACGCGCCGCCACTAGGCGGTCGGTGCCGGTGTTGGGCAACACACGTAGTATATGAGTAGTAATATTTTTAGTGAATACAACCGTAAAAAACGGTACAATGAATCGTGTAATATAAATTGTACAGTAAACCGCGTGTGGGGTTTTCGATTGGAGAGAGGCTCGGAACAACGGTACCGACCGAAAGCGAGTGTAACCGCCCGACAGTCTTCGGTATTTTTTTTTTACGGCTCACCTGACCGCGTAACGAAGACCCTCCCTCCCCCTCCCCCCGACGTGTTCTGCGCGTCTCACGGTCCGGAGTTTAATTTTCAGACACGTGAAAACCGTTAAAAAAAAACGCACGCATTTTCGTTATTATCGTTTCTCCAAACATTACCTGTTCGAAATCAAAACCGGACGTGCAAAGTTCGATTGCGCTCGAGAATCAAAAAAAAAAAAAAACCGTCACACCGGTATGGGCCGAGTGTAAATTCGGTTTCGGCACGTAGATCCCGATGCGTCCGATGACGAAACGAGATAGGTACGTGCCCGAGACAAAGGGGAATCGTCGCGTACCGGAAACTCCGCCCCCGTCGGAATTGTTTTTCGATTACCCGCGCCGTTAGGTAAGAGGGAAGAGGTGAATTCGCTTGTGCCGCACCCCTCGCGTCACGCTTCATCGGCGGCCATGGGAACTATCGTTTTATTTTGAATAATTATTCACACCGAATTCTTAACGTATTTTAACGATGCATCCGCAGCCGAACACCGTGTAATTCCTGTGTGTGTTACGCATTAATGCATCGTCATGCGCAAGTCTGTTGACATAGCTGTGCCCGCATTCGCCGGCACATCGAGGCCTAACCCTTGCAACTGCTTTTTTAGCCCCTCCGCCTCTCTCCCCCTCCAAAAAAAACCAACGAAATCACGATTCGACAACTGGTATTTTTAATAATGCTGACGGCCACGCGACACCAATCGATTTTTCACGGGCACCCGACAAAAAGTGTCCTTTTTTTTTTTTTAAATTTCACTCGAGGTAACGACCATTTGTTTAGTGATTTAATCACGAATAATTTTATCTATTATGTATACATATTTTAGTCAAGTTACAACGAAATAATCGATTTGCCGAACACAAATTGGCTTTTAAATTCCTGCATCCTTCCCGTCGAAAATTCTCTGACGCACCACTGCGTACCTATTGTTTGATTGTTTGTTTGTTCACAGTTTAATGTGCAGGTAAATTTTTGTTCACCGACTACGGCAGGTTTAAATCATTTATTTTACAAACAACCGTATTATTGTTCATAGACAATATGATATAATATGCAATACAATATAATATTATTGACGTGCGATCAGATCAAACACTTAAAACTCGAGAAAAACGAATCAGTAATATTGAAAACTCGAGATATATTATTACGTTAAATGAACGATATTTTCACGTGGAAAATAAACATTATGTTAATACCCCCCCACTTATATTAATATTACAAAACAAATTGTAATTTGCTTCGTCACAAATTTAAAGTTGTAATATTTTACATCGTATTGTGTATAATTATTATGTATTAAAGTTCACACAGCAATTGTTATATTTTATTATAAATTAATCCCACCCGCACTGCGTAGTCTTATGTTCGATCTTGTTAGGAGATTTTAACCGTGATATTTCTAATAAATTTAGATATTATGCGATTGGGGTCGTTTGGCACAAACTCTTACAGGAGATGGGCGGTACAATAAAATAACCATAGTAATACGTATACGTATTTTAAACTTTTACAGTCCAATATTATAAACATTGTACTCATGGATATAGTCTTTTTCAAGGGGTAACAATGAGGCAATTTTCGTACATAACTGTGTTGCATGCATACGATTGGTCACTATTATGTTTTATACATTTTTGTTATTGAGTAAACTTTATATAATTACGATACAGTCACGATTATCTTTTCACATGAACGATTAAATAGAATTGTATTAAAGTGTTACTTTTTACTTTTAGAGAATTTATAAAATCTACGTTTACAATAAAACGCACGTAGAAAATCATGATAATATTGTATAGGGACGAAAAGATGCATGATAAACATCAATATAAAATCCAATCAAATTGTCTAAAAGGTCTGCTACACTTACTCGCCATCCGCTTGCAATTATTTATTTCGATTTGATAATCGAAAAAATGAAGAAATAAAAAAGGCTAGCTATAATAATCTAACCGAATTGAACATTTAAAACACCGATTACCTAGGTAATAATATCCTTTTAAAAATATTGAAATTGCATTATTATTTATTTTTTTTAAATTTATTAAACATTTATAATAAATACATTACAAACTGTACAGAATACAAAATACCTAACCTTAAAACAATATCAAAAAAATTCAAGTCATGCAGAAATCTATATACGTTCTATACAGAATTAAACGATGTATATCGACTTATAATAAAATGCATTAACGTCCGGCCTTTCTCCGCAGTGAATAACATTATTGGCGACGTTTTACATACAAATATAAAGTGTTTCGTTAAAAATTAAAAGGCTCGGTGCCAGCGCGTTTTTTTGTTCAAAAATATCAATTACGGGGAAAACTCGTGATTCGTAGGGTGGGTCCGGTTAGTTGGTTGTTGGAAGAACATGAATTCCAACAGCCCGTATTGAACTCCATTTTTCAATATTTCTGTCAAAAATTGTGTGTTATGTCTTACAATTTCAACATTTTTTTTCTTCTTCTAATGGGGATTTTGGCCTTTAAGACCAACTCTCCAAATAAATTTACCGCTATCTCACTCTATCCATTGCTATCTCTTTTTCTGTGTTCTCGTCCTAAGCGCGGTCTACCTAACGGTCTTTTCCCAATCAGCTCTTTCTCGATGGCTTCAATTTTCGTATGCATTATCTTTTCTCCAAGCGTATCCAGCTCACATACGTTTACTCTTTCTAGTTTCTTTTTTCATATTTGATTGTTAAAACTAGTTTATAAGCACCTAATTGTGATGTTTTATCCATTCCACCGAGTTGACGTCAATGCAAGATTCATAGTCTTCTAAGTATTTTCCGTTCAAACACTGCAGTAAATCGTATTTCTTCATTTTTCCTTAAGGTCCACGTCTCTGATTCATATACGACTATTGGCCGTATGTAATTGGAGTTTAAGTCTTTTGAATAATACTTTAGAGCTGCAATCTATATTATTTACTTTTATTTTTAAGTTGTTATCTTGCGTTATTATCAATCTTAGGTACTTGAAGTATGGCTGCACTCTCTTGCAAACATATGGTCCTCTAACGTTCTTTTCACCAACAAATCCATACCAATATTTGAAATCGAATTAAAAATAGGAGTTCAACGCGGACTGTAGAATGTTGTTAGAATTAAAAAAGAAACGATAAATAAATAGTTAATCGGCAATGAGATATATCTTATCACAATCAAATTCGTCCGCACTATTTCCCCTCAAACTATGGGTATCTGGCAGTAGATTAGTGAAAAACTCCCGTCGTTAAGCGGTCATCGAAATGTTAACAATAAAACAATTTGGAAAACCGGCACCGGACCCCTTGAAACGTTTCATTATTCACGATTGATTGTCTATACAATAATTTATAGATATACATATTAACTAACATATTATATACATAACCTTATTTGTACTTTATCAGTGATAAAAATATTACTTATTTTATTCTATAATTTTATGATTACATACGTATGGGCAGTAATTTTTTTTTTCGCGTGACATTCTTTATAATATTCGGCCCAATATTATGTACGCACATGCAAATAACGTGTCGTATTTTTAGTATCGTGCGTATACACACGCATCCGCGAATAATATTTTAACAATTTAGTTTAAAAACTGCCTGAGCCTATATAAATAATATAAATTTACCGGAAGACAGCGTACACCATCGTCGCATGATGGTAATAATTAGGGCTCGTGAATTATTGCACTTACAATTCACAAAAAAGGCGCTTAAAAACGTCAAAAAATCCCTAACAGAAAGCACTTCAAACAAATACCTATGATTATAAGGACAAATTGAAGAAGGATTCAAAGGTCTTGTGTCCAATGACTCTTATCTAACTTATTAAATGCGTTTTTTCTAACACGATACAAATGATTAACAAAAAGTAATTGTGTTTCAAAAAAAAATTATACGTATTATAAAACAAATACCTTTGAGTCAATAATTTGTACAGCGTTAGACAAATTTTTTTTTTTTTAATATTTTCCATACGTTTTTAAGCGTTTTTTTGTCAATTTTAAGCGCATGTTCCGAGCCCTAGTAATAATGATTAAACGTTACAATAGGTATTACCTGTATAATATACACGTGTGGTGTCGTATGGTTAATGTTGAAAATTTGACAACGTCACATTTTCGATCGGCAGAACCGATTTCGTGCAGTTGATTTCAATATTAGAATGAGTTGGTCTGCTACGTTAAACTTTTAAAGGATACAAACATTTGCGTGTTTTTGCTCGTTTGGTTTGTCTTCGGTATTTTAATTTTCAAGCGTAGTAATATTTTACATGCACGGATCTCGATTGAAAATTAAAATATCGTAAATAAACCAACGCACAAACACAAACAATATTCTTATCTTTGAGTTCGATAACTGGCCAATTATTCATTCTACAGAACGGATAGAATACCAAATAACTTTGACGTTAAAATTAACAGCACAACATTCGATCTACCGGAGGAAAATTTAACATTATCCGTAACATAATAATGTACAGGAACGTTATACAGAGTGATTTTTAAATTCAGGTTTCATAACACCTTTTATTTGGAAGTAACTGATTTAAATCTTTGCGGGCTAGTAACGCGTTCCTTTCTTCGTCGAGTCTGAATAGTGCATGATAAAATCTAAACTGTCTAATATACATGTTATAAGTTATAACCTGTAGGCTACAGAGTACGAGTATTATAACGAGTATTTTTATACGCTTTCGAATATAGTATGTATTGATTGAAAAAAAAAAAAACAGTCAATCTATACTGAAATGTGTTTCATCACCAGCCAATTCTGTGCGTACAGTGTTATTACGCATGTGTTGAGCATATTTCGCATTTTTAGAGAATGTTTTAGAATCTCGTGCATTTGTAAGACATATTTTAGATGTATTATAAAAACGTTAATGAAGTGCTCTTTTTTTATGACTCAACAAATCTACAATTACAGAATGATATTGTCATCAAGGTATACAAATATGGATGAGCGCTGAGCAGGCGAGCTAATTACTTTAGTACCCGCGAGTGTTCGATAAACTTTTATTATTATATGGGTGGCGGGGTTTTTTGTTTTTTTTTTTTTTGTTTGTTTTCGAGAACACACGTTCAGGGCACAGTTCGGCAATTTTCAGGGCACGACTGCGTCTATATATTCAATAGGTTATTAAGGCATACGTGTTGTCTATGAATCTCTGATTTGATTAATAACAATACTTTTTCGTACGGTCTCGGCGCGGCACAGTTTAGCGACGAATATTTTTCCCCACGGAATATCTATCGTATACACCGCGTGTATAGAGTGAGTTCTTTTTATCACGAACCAGAATTTTTCTGGGAAGATTTTAACGGAAGAGTATCTAATAAATTACACGATTGCACTCTGTACTCTACACCTCCGGTCTAAACTTTAAACGGCTATAATTCACAAACGGCAAATCTGATAATAGCTGTGTTATGCACATCAAAATTACTAGAAAAATATTCGAAAATGGGCGGTTCTTGTTCGAAAAACAAAAGTTTATACTTATTTAAGGTATACGGAGTAGGGGTGAAAATTAAAAACGTTCTTAAAATAAAGCTTAACCGATTGCATGGTAATAAAAAAAAAAAAAACCAGAAATCAAATTCGCTTAAAATCTTCCGAGAAAACTACTGGTTATTTGTGATAAAAAAAAAAATCACCCTGTATATTGTGTAGGTGTATATCAAGTGCGTACGTATATATGCGTACATAAATATGCGTGTTGCCGTTTTGTCGACAAAAAAACTGTGCGCGTAAAATGAAAATTGAAAATAATGGAAAAAAAAGCCACTACGAAAAGTAGACGGACGCGGTAAAAAATAATAATAACGACGGCGGCGGGGGACTTCGGAAGCTACGATACGGATATATACGTATATACGTATACTGCAGTAAAAATAACTGCGCGGTATAAAATAATATTAAAATACATATAAAACTGGGGGCGGCGATCGCGTGTGCGTATGATGAGTAACGCGAACGAAGATATTGAAAAAAAAAAAAAACTGTAAAAAAATAGGTATTTTTTTTTTTGTTCACGCGATGAATCATCGGGCCGGCGGCCAGCGATTAGGCCGGGTATAAAACACAGCCGGTAAAAAAAAAAAAAAAGTGTATTTATTTGAAACTGTGTCGATTTCGTACCGTGCAGGCTATGATATGAGTCATCCGAGTGGTCGTCGTTCGAGCGGTTACCCGGATTTTCATGACGAACGCTGCGCGTTGTAGATCAGGGCCAAAAGCAGTTAGCTCTTAAAAATGATAAAAAAATATCTCATACCGACAAAAAAAAAAAAAAAAAAAATTGTAAATTATTCCAAATAATAATTCTTTATCGGTTTGTGCGTCAGCCTGTACCACGAACGCAGGACTGGAAAGAGCTAAAAATGTTATTTTTCACCAAAATATAAAAATTTAAAAGAAATTTAAATATTTTTACTCATTATCCCTGCAATTAATGTAAAAAAATTGGAATTTTAGTGTTGTCGTTCAAAAACCCGTTATACAACCCGATTTTGAGATCTATAATAATAATTTTGATTTCAAAAGTATAAACGTCTTATGTTCAGTGTATTTATAATTTTCTCGTCGTCTTCTAAGTTCACCTGCGTTCACCGAAATGTATTGTACATAAAAAAAACATAATTATCATTATATCGAGACTTTAGGTTTAAGTGTTGATCAATCTGATCCGATAACATTTTTTTTTTTTTTGTTATCAGTTTTAAGAGAACTGCCATGGGCCCTGTAAATAATTCGGTATTGAGCAACTCGTAAAAAAAAAAAAAATCCGGTGAAATTGAAAGTCGGATATTTTAAAACGTACGGTCGATTATTTATTTTTTTTTTTTTTATGTTATTTTCCTCGGTTATGCTACTCATATTAGTAGGGCTCGGGTTTTTATGAGTTTAAAATCCACAGGAAAGCGTTTAAAAAACCTCAAAAGAGCCCTGAAAAAATATTTTAAAAAACAAAAATGACAGACGGTTCTATATATAATACCATTAAATCCGATTTTTAACACTATACGAAAACGATTAATACGCATTTTTTTTTTCCATATATAATACTTACAATTTTATTTAAAAACGTGTGTTAATCGTTTTTGTAGTGTTCGAAAATTGTATTTTACAAGTTAGAGCCCGTAGACGGGGGCGACTTTTAAAAACATACTATCTTTTTTTCTTAATTAAGTGTGTATTTTTTGACGTTTTCGGTCGGTTTTTTGTGGATTTCGAGCGCATAAAGTCTCGGGCCCCGATCACATTATAGGTAATCCGGAATTAATCGCGATGATAAAACATCGAAATCGTTATCACGTTTCGAATGTAGAATTAAAAGACAAAAAATGCCCGCCGAAATCACCGAAAAACTACCGAGTCGTTTGTTTGGTTTCTCTTCAAAGGGTCGTGTGGATAAATAGAATTACATTTCAGCACAACGCATTCCAACATTATAGTTAGAAAGTCATTCTGCAGCGGGATGTCATCTAACTGCGGGTCATAAGTTTTTGGGCTATTTACAAGAGTATACATTTTCAACGTAATTCTAACTTTCTAACTGCGTACAAATTAGTGCCGGTCCGCTTTGGATTCATCACCGGGACGACGAGTCGGCGGCGTGCGGGTCAGGCGACGACGGGAATCTGTCCAGTTCCTTCCGTATGGCCTTGATAAGCGGAACCGCGGGGTCCTGGGGCGACAGGTTGGCGTCCGAGCTGATGAATTCGGTGCGCAAGACGGGCCGGTGGAACGGGCCGGCGCTCAGCGGCCGGGGCACGAACACCGACCCGTCCGAACCGGCCCACGCCTCGCCCGGCGACAACGCCCAACACGAACTGGCCGCCGTGGCAGCCGCAAGCTCGTCGTCTTCAGCGCGGCCGCCGCCCGAGTCCACCGATGTCTTGGGCCGGCACGACGAACGGCCGTCTGCAGACGTCGCGGAAGACCTGCGCGGAAAACACATAGCCGTTCGTTATTTATTTTTTTGCAGACTGTCTCGCCCAGAGCACCGGCGAATTATTATTTGCAACGCCGACCGTACGATATTAGTATAGCTTAGTATAGGTTAGAGCGGTTTACGATATTTAGCGTTCGCGGGTACTATTGTCTCCATTATTTTCATTGCTCGAACCGGAACAAAAAGGGGTATCATAGCACCCATAGTAACGCAAGCCTCATAAAACTTAAAAAAAGAAAAAGAAAAAGTAGCGTCTCTTGTAACGATCGGATTCAACCTAATTACACCCACTAAGAAAAATTGAAAATGGTATGTACGTTAAAATATTTTTAGAAAATAAGTGGTACTCCGTCCCCCCGCGATCCCTCCCTCCAATTCAAACGCTGATTATATTAAGAAATTAAATATTTATGTTGTTTAGGTCGGCAATCAGGAAACGCTTGGGACTTAGTATATCCGGTTCGCAACATTATACAGTAGGTGTAGACGTGGCTGCATCCGTGTTGGTTCCCACTATGCTGTGGAAGGCTTTCGAAAAAGGCCAAATACAATAATATTACAACGTATAATTCGGTTAATTGTTCAGTTCATATTACAATAGTTCCCATCATTATGTTTATCTACGAATTCATAATAAATAAACAGTGGCGTAATTTGGGATAGATCTTGGAGGAGGCGGTGGAAAGATTTTGAAAACTGTATAGAAGGGTTGCTACAAACTTCGTAGCTCTAAGACTTATTTTCAGTGGTTCGGTTTAGTAGAAAAGAAATGTCATTGTTATTCTATAAATTCGTCTTACATTTAAACAAAACAATACTAATAGCTAATTGGTAGAGATAGACGTACAGATATTAATAACAAATTATATACAATTATTCGTAATAACAAATCCACTCTTCTTGGATTTAGAATCATTTAATTCAGCCCTCTTAGCTAGGTCTAGCGATACATTTGACACCCAGATCTCCCCTTCGTCAACAATGGCCGTAAATAAATAACGGTCAATCAAGGAAACATAATATTACGTAAAAAGAGAAACTACTATACGCCCATACATTCAACGTTTTATTAAAATAATCTGGGAACCAACTAGGATGTACCTTTCCCGACGGTTGCCTATCGATTAATGTATTTATTTATTATTTCATTTTTTTTTTTGGCGCCTACTAAGCTTCCGCACGCCGCCGCTGGAACGAACATCCGTATGCTTATAATACGAACAAGAATATTATTTTCCTCTGTGTAAACTGTGTAACAACGTGTACGTAAAATAGCTATACACACTCGTTGCCCTTTATTATAAATGTTAATATTGTGTAAATCACATTACCCATACATCGTATTGTAACCCAGCCGACCTGGTCGACCGTACGCGCTCATTTATAACGCCGTAATAATATTACTCGTTATACCTATACGGTTTTTTTTTTTTTAATAAACAATAACGTACGAAATAATAACAATTATTATAATTTCAACCCCCAGCCCGTATTTTTTGTTAAAAAAAAAAAAAAAAAACATTAAAGGGAACTAAATAGACTATTACAGACAAGCGTGCAGTTAAAGGTATCATCAATATTCCATACTATCTATGCTATTGAGTATATATATATGTAAGTAAATAAACTGTAAAATATACAGTAAATATTTAAGTTATACAGTATTCTGCTAAATATGATTTGGCTCCCTCCCCCCTCCCAACCAAGTCTTTGGAGCCGCCCCTGGATTCTCGCCTATTACGCACTCACCTAAACGGAGCCGATTTCGATCTTTGTTCGTTGTTGCTCAACGACGGACTACTGTCGCCGCTGTGAAAACTCGAGTTTCGACTACCGAACAACGTGAACGCGTCGTCGAGAAGTTCGTGAAATTTTTGTCGCATTTTCGTCACGTTTGCGTCCATGGCGTTGAACGCGTCGAAGCTCGAACACGAATCGTTATCCGGATCGTCTGCAATGACAATGTTTAGATGTGTGCATAAAGCCGGTACATAAATCGATAAACTCAGCTATCGGCCAATATCGGGGGAAGGAGGTTGTCAATACCGTCATTTGACCCGGCATTCTCGTTGGCAGATGTCTATAATGTCTTTGGGATACGAAAAATGCATTTTGAAAAAAATTAAATGTTCAGCCAGCATACCGGTTAATTTCAATATCAACTGGTGGTTTTCGATTTCAAATATCGGATATCGGTAAAGAGTGGTATCGGCCCGTTCCTAATAATTTTGTTTTATTTTTTTAAATATAATTTCATTTTTGTTTAGAAAATATAAAATGCTTCTTGTACTTGTTTATGTTAGGTAGGCACCAGCGTATTATAAATTATATAGAAGAAAATATCAACAACTAAGATAACCTATTTTGTAAATTGCTATATCGATTATATAATTTAAATGTTTACATAAAAACAAATAACAGTTATACCTAATTTAAAAAATTAACGGAATTTTATTTTTTTTTTAACTTCTTTGTTCATATATTACAAACACTATTACATACTCAGAACTCGAATAATTAAGAACGAAATTATGTTTGGAAAATAAAATACGAGAGACTATGCGATTTAAAAAGTGACCTTGGATAGATCATGATTGAACTCGACCCGTGGGGGCTTTTCAAAATATTTGAACTGTTCATTCAGATTTGTATCTGTGTCTAATAGCAACTTTTCTACCGAAAAACTCGCTTCAAACATCATCTTCAGGGGTGGGTTTCTAGTAGCGAATTTGTATTTATTTAGACTCACTACTTTTAATTTGCATTTGTTTACAATGCAAATCCCAAACAATTGGTCCGACCACTCCAGGATCTTGGCCGCCAATGCTTTCATGTCTCGTTAATTTTTGCACGTTTTTATTTTCATTTAAATGAGTATTTTCTTCCAGTACTTTGGTCAACGGCTCAGGCATTGAATCCCTAAAAACACAATAAATTAAAAATAAGCTTAAATCAAACCAAAGTACAAATTACTGTTTCAAAATCAATTATTTTAAAATATCAGAATAATTACCAAATATCTCAACCTTAAAATAAACTGTTCACATTTGGTAAAATGTCACAATAATTATATAGTTATACTAAGATAATTTCTACATGGTCGAGTTTTTTATAATTAAATTTGAGTTTGTAATGTTTGTATACGCCAGCATTATATCAAAAGTAGGGGACATGTTCGTGAAGCCCTTAGTGCTATACATTAATTGGTTTCATTAAATTATTATTTTAGTCTCGAAAGCAACTCTAACATTGCCATTATTATTGTACAAAATTTCTGCGGGTTGAACAGAAATAATACGTACCTATATATTACGAACGAGTCTATTCGGACAATTGTTTACCTACAGAGTTCCTTTTAAAGTATGAAAACAATTTAATAATTCGTTTAGACGCTATTTTGTGTATGCAGGAATATTTTTTTTTTTCTATTTTATTGTATTGTATGAAGTATTTAAAAAAATATGATTGAAGTGAGAAATAAATTAATGTGCTTTTCCGCTCTCTCTCTCTCTTTCTATCTTTCTCTTATTTTTTACTTCACGAACATTAAGTATATTCTCGTTTATTATAATTGTATTATAGTTTATATGTTGTACGTGGTTTTCAGTTAAATCGGTTTCACTGTTATTTTAATAATAATATTCTTTGTTATTATATACAACCTATAGTGTTTACACAAAATTATGTTGAAATACGAGTACATAATTTTTAATGTCGTAAAATAAAATTGAACAATATAGAATTCAACCTTTTAATCGTAATTTACACTATGATTATTAAATATCGCATTAATTATGGACCGGTTCAATAAAAAAAAATGATAAAATATATTATAAAAGTATATTATTATTGTTAAACTAGACTTAAATGGTACTGTTTTGTAATTAAGATAGTAGAAGAACAAAACAATTTAATTTCAATGTCTTTAAGAAGATGAAAAGAATGAAAATGTTATAAAAAATAATTAAATTTTAATATTTTTAATTGCTTTAATCATTTGTTTAATTGTCGGCACGCCAGTTATTTTTACACGTCAGAAACTCCCCAATTATTGGTATGTGTTTGTGTACATAATATATTTTAACAGTCAAACATGAAATAATACATCGACATTTTTTTTTTTATGTTCTTACGTTTTCAAAATATAAATAAATGAAACAATATAAGTGAAAAATAAAAAATAATTAAATTCTGATAATATTTTTAAATCACTGTCCCGAACGTCTTTGTATTGAACGAAAAAATTTAAAAAAATGTGTCTCCCCGTAAGACCATGACCCTGTTTCATGACCTGTCACCGTTATTGCCCAGTAATTAATTTTTTTTAAGGGTACTTTCTTATCTGTGATAACAAATTCAACTAAGAATTAGTAGTTTATTTTTTCATCCTTGTCAGTAAAGAAACACATGACCAACAAAAATAACTCAATTTTCGAAAATACCAAAAGCCCTGTGTGAACCAACCTTTAAAGGTTTACTTTCGAAAATCAGACTTCAGGAAGCGTGCGGATCCATTCATCCGGTCCTGTAGACGTGTAAATTTTCAGTAAAAATTACAAATTTTAGATTAGGAGCGAAGCACCTATATATTGGTTGTACAAAGATTTGTATTTTATTTTTTTATTCTGTTAGAAAATTGTCTACCGGAAATCTTACTCTGATGTATCAAGTGCAACACCTTTTCTGAAAGCGAATTTTATTTAATTGGTACTTCAGAATAGTAATTTATTGATTTTCAAGACGGTTTTCATAATAATCGGAAAAAAACTTAAGAACAACGGGAAAATGTATGTGTATATGATATAAAAGAAACTGTCGCTCCGAATCGTCTTTTGTTAGCAATGGTTTATCGTTGCGTACAAATAAAATTTAAATTTTCCTCTATATCCTACCTTCCCTACTTCTTTGTACTTGTTTCTTGCTACTTGTTTGGGTTAAATTTTGCTTGTATTCAAATTCTGGTTTTGGTATTTTTAAGCGTGTAGTTAAAGCCGAAATTTTCGAATACTTAGATTTTTCACAACATTTAAGGATGTTACCGAAATTAGGATCATCACATGATTCTCCTTAAATGTTGTGAAAAATCTAAGTGTTCGAAAATTTCGGCTTTAACTACACGCTTAAAAATACCAAAACCAGAATTTGAATACAAGCAAAATTTAACCAAAAAATGAAATGAGCTACACACTTAGTGAATCATCCTGTATATAATAATATATAATCGAGTTGTACCTATCTCCAACTTTATTTCAGATTTTCCAAATGTATATCAACCTACTTGTTGATAATACGCGAGTAAAATTACATTAAAAAAAAAAAAAAAAAATGTTCGTTTTATGTATGTTAGTAGGAGTACATAAAACCGTTAATTTATTTATTATAACATCGAAACAAATGTAATACTTATATAGTCCTGAATGACTTTCACGCTTAATTAGTATAGTTTAAAAACTTTTGTTCGTTCCTGCAGTATAATTATTATTTCACAAGAAATACGACATGATCATGACATTGCGATAATGTTGCGTGAAGTTATTAATTTTTTGTACGCTTATTGTTACATTTCTTTTTATACGCGATTAAAATGATTATACGTAAAAAAAAAAAAAAAAAATTAAAAATAAACACACTCATGAAATTATTTTGAACAATATACGTAGGTATAATTATATACTGCCTATCTGTTGTTTTTTGAATTATCGCTGCGTAATCCGTTCATTAAGCCGGCACCGGTCGTTCATATATTATTATTTCTATGTAGGATACTTCACCCCGGGATACCCGAAACGTATCTGGCAACCGTTTAAACGGTTTTATCGTGTCGGTTTGATCTCGATGGCAGATGGCTACTTATTTCTCGCCGTATACTGCACTGAAACGCCGCAGGAATGATAAAATCGTCGAATCTGTTCGACGTATATATTCGTCGAGTTATTCGTATTATTATAATAATAATTATTACGAGTATACTGTAGTATATATGCACTTAAATCGTTTGTTTGTTATAAAAGTCAAATTATTTGACTTGTATAGCGTACGTATACGCACAAATTGTATTATGATTCGTCCATATTATTATACAGTACTCAGAACTAAGAAGTCCAGAAAGACATCATCTCCACTATAATATGATTAATTTATTATTCGATTTTCAATTATTTATTCTAACGTCCTGCCGTTCCGTATTAATTTAACTTACTAACTTTTGAAATTTATTAACTGCCTGCATGGATAGCAAAGAATTCGAAATCTTATTTCTATTTCTCGGCTTCGGTTCGGGTGTTTGTAAAGTACTGATATCCTCCGTAGACGTGGCTTCGGTTTTTACCTTCAAACAAATTTGAACATTATTTTATCATCGTGTCGTTCTCGTAGTTTTACTTAATTAATAATTTATAATATAAAAATTACTTCTCGGTGGGGAGTTTGTTCTTCGCACGCCATATTAGTTTTGCCGGAACTAATGCTATTTTTTCTTTTCTTCTTTTTATGCGCTATGACAAAGCCCGCAGCGAGTGCTAAAATAATTATAGACACTGCGGTGATTATAATCAAAATCTTACTGTAACTCACGCCTCCGCGAACTCTTTGAAAGTGTAATCCGTCCAAGTAAGCTACGAAATGGATTTTCAAATTAATTTGTTTTTAACAAATAAAAACAAGAGTTTTACTCACGGCGAGCTTTTATTTTGACGGTATATCCGAGGTAATCTGCTGCTTCTTGGACTGTAACAAGGCTCATATCACGCACTGCCGTAGCAGCCGATACGGGATGCTCGTTCACGGTAACATAATAAACCAAATCTAATTTGTTCACAATGGACAGAACATGTACCCCGACTTTAATCGGTTTTTCGTGGGTATCCCATCTCCGATTTCGATATAAGTTTACTTCTTCTTCCGTCCAATTCGCCGCATTTAGTCCGAGATGTTGAGCCTGTTGCCTATGCAAGTGAAATCACATAAAACAAAAGTTAAACTGTATTGTCCGTGGCTCTATGTACGACTAATAGTCCGGAATCGTCGTATTATATTATTATTTTAGTTATACGATATTATTTTATTGATCAAACGTTCGCATCGTTACGATGCATTATTGAAACTCATATCCATTTCATTCCCGATGTCAATCGGTAACCCACCACTATGTGACTTTAAGAATGAATCATTTTTCATGAAAAATATAGGTCATATCATTGCTGCAGTAGCCTGCGCTCTATATGATTTATACACCGTGTTACAATTAGTTCCGGATTAAACTACAATATTTGTACCGAACTGTCAGAACGCTATTATACTCGTTTATTAATATTGTATGCGTCATATTTTATACATATTTATTACAAAAATAAATAAATAAACATTTGATGATTATTAAAAAAATTAAACATGGGCCGTACAGGAAAAAACGGAAAATTGACGAAAGTTAAAGAGTCCACAAATAGAATAAAACGCGTATAAGAAATTTTAAATTGGAAAATGTGAATCCGCGGTGATTACATTATATTGGTTTTATTTAATTAGTATGCGTTTAACAAGATAACTTAATAACTTATAATATAACATAATGTATGGTAGTTAAAGTATATGCCATACGATAATTAGTATAACACAACCAGTTTGTTATCTATACGTTTTATAATTTAAAAACGTGTGTATATTTCGTTTATTTATTATTGAATTTAAACACAATCGTTTATACTTATAAAAGGTGGAATATTGCATACCCAAACCAAGGGTAGCAGGCGACCACGTCCGCTAGGCCCATGAATGTAAAAAACTTATTGTGTTATTAATGTATATACAATAATAGCCCATTTTCAAGTTTTTCAAGTTCGGCCCTTAATCCGCTGCCTTTTACATACCCTCAATAGCACAACCAAGATTTATTTTCGGAAGGGGTTACGAATTTCAAAAAGTTGATACTGCTCACGGGTAGGCAACTATTGCAGGTGGGTAATTACAAAGATATAAAATAAACAATGTAATTTAGTTTATAAACTATACCTTTCAATTATAAATCATTGCAAACAAAAAGACGATTTTGAGTAGAGTAGTAATATAAAAAGTTAGTCGTGTTTTTCCCTTGCTGCCAAAGTGACCCAGGAATCAATTACAAAAGACATAGGATGTGAACTGCTGAAAGCAATTTAAGTAACAATTATAGGTTCTTCGCTACGTGGCAGATATATAAAAGTCTAAAATAAGAAATACTGCTATTTGATCAAAGCAATACATATTAGATTCTAATAAGTTCTAATAATTAGAACTTATTATGATTCATAAGAAAATCTTAAATTTCGGAGGGAGTTATAACCCCCAAACCTCACCCCTGGTTACGCTCCTGCATACCCTTATATTAAATTGAACTCTATATAATATGCGTATTTATTTATATATATATATAGGATAGTGCGTGCCATATTAAAAAATACCTACCTAGTGAAAGCAATCGTGTAGAGGACGGCCAATTTTTCTTTCATAACTGGTATGGAAATATTAACATCCAACAGCGAGTGAAAATGTAATTCAGTTACTATCCAATATTCTTTGTCCGGTATTTCGGTGGTTTGCGGTATGTCAATAACCCCGGGATGCGGCGCAACGGACGTAGGTCGAATGTTACAGTCTTGTCCACCTATACAATCTTCAGGATTTTCCTATAAAATATTTAAATTTATATAATACGTGTGTCTTATTTATACACTCACGTTTCGTATTAAAGATAGACGTATATTACGTATTAATTTATTTATTTACTGAATAAAATGGAATTTTTTCGGAGGCGGGCGTTTCCGTAGATTCCGTTGAACCGTCTCCAGAACCCGACCATAAAAATATTTTCAAATTGGTGTAGTTGTGCATGGACTCTGTTAGGCTATCTGAAAAAAACAAATATAAAAAATAATTCCAAGCAATAATTTTAAACAGATTTTATTATTTTGTCAACGGATTCAATATTTATATGTATTTAGAGTTCCGCAGGAAATTGATCAGGAAGAATAAAATCAAATAACAACAAGTACTTAAAATAAAATAATATCAATTAATTATTAAATTTATATTTTAAAGTCCAGGGGGGGGGGGCAGATGCCCCGTCTTGCCCCGTAAAACGCGTATTACTCATAATAAAATATACGTAATGCACAATATATTCACGTGTTGACCATGCGTGCAGCTGCATCTGATTAACCGTGATTTAATATATACCCAATGGCGAAACGAAGAGGGTGGACTCGGGGTCCAGAAACCTCCCCTCTTTAGTAACGGATTATGATGACATATTATATAATATCAACGATGATTGATATTAAGATTACCGTGATAATTTATAGCAGTTACCATAATACTATCACAGCTATAAAAAGTTAAAACCGTACATTCAAGATTTCCATAAGGAAGAAAATGATGCTATTATCGATTTAAAAGTGATTTTTCACTTGTACTAGGTGACACAAATGTACAACCAGTTTGTCTATAGTTCTCTAGTAATTGTTTGACACAATCGGAGAGGAGGTATGCTTGAACACCCCCTCCCCAGATACGGCCATATAAATAACAAATGTACCAGTGATATGTCTGCAGACAAATATTGTTTGGTTTTCACCTGTATGAAAATATTTTTTATGTAGCTATATTTATAAAATAGTCATATTATGGTTATAAAGGTAATAAAGGTTTTCCACTATTGTTCTTAACCCCCCTCTTCCTTTTGAAAAAATCCAGACACCATATCCAACAAAAAATTATAAAATATCAATAGTTTTCTAAACCACTACATAATAGTATGTACTATGTATTATTATTATGCAGTGGCGTATTTATGATTTTACCAAGCAGGGGAGAGGATATTAAATTTGGAAATTGTGTCATACCTTGTAAGTTTAATTTGTTATTTATTAATTCAATCTGCGGTAAAATTACCGTTGAAATTAAATAACTAGGTACCTATATCGTATCATTAGTAATTTTTTTATTATTAAATCGTTTGTATTATTTAGGTGCTTAGGACAGAGTCCGTTTTAAGCAGATATAGTCGCATAAATAGTAGTAGATACTAAAAAATGATAAAGACGGGAGATGCGTCTCACCAATAACTCCCCCCTCCCTTCTTAAATACGGCCGTCGTCGTATTATCACGGACGGATTGTACAGAAAATCACGTATGAAAATACGTACCTTCTTGTTCGATACTCTGTGTGTTGCAGCCGGATAACATCGCTATCGTCGTTATGATGTGCACCAAACACAACCGCCTTATATCCATGTATACATTCCAAGACGATTTTTCGCATTTGGACCGGCCGTCGTAGTCGTCCCGTCAACCTCCATTGTGCCGTCCGGGATTGATAAAAAGCTTTTCGCTGGAAACGTTCGTTTCGATTGACATCGCATCCGTCTATAATACATCGTGATATATTATTATAATGCCCGCAATAAAAACGTATACGATCATACGAATCTACGCGCGTGCGCGTGCGGTGTGTGCGATGCGTGAAGTCTAGTATCCCTGGGCAACACTGCACCCAAATAATAATAATAATTAATGCGACCGTATATACCTATGGTACTCGTACACTGTGCATTGTATAATATCACATAGGAAATAGACTTCCGCAAGACTCGTTCACGTCGTAAAACGTACCACGTACCGTAGGCTATTCGCCTGCAAGCCCGTAGGTATACCATATGCATAGGTACTCGATAAAAAACAAAACGGTACAGATCGGAGTGGACATAATTATAATTATTATTATTATTATTATTATTATTATTATTATTGTTATTATCGTATTTATATGACACATAATATTGTTAAAATATCCCTATTGATATACGTGTGTCTGTGTGTGCATGCGTATGTGTGTGTGTGTGTATGATATCCAAATATGGCGGTGTATTGATAGGCGTCATAATTTGCCGCACAGTAGCGGTCGATTATAATTAAAGACCGGATTTATATTCTCTTAAAACACCTAAAATATGATGCTAACATTTTCTATAAAACCCTAAAATATTCTCATTATAATCTCTTAGAAGTTTGAAAAATATGCAAAAATAATAATCAAAGAACATCAATATATGCTTTAATATGCAATTTGTTTTTACTATAATTTTTTTTTTTACGACATTCCATAAATAATTAGTGACACTTGCGTGTTAAAATATATTAATAGTGCACTTAAGTAAGAGTAAGAATATAATATAGATATAACTATATAGGCAATTTAATTTTTAAACATTTAAAAATCACGTTACATGGCTAGCCACCATGTTTAGTGAACTGTAACTTATTATAGGTAAGTACTATAACATTAACTTTTTTATCAAAATGATACAAAAAAAAAAAAAAATTGTAAATGTTCAAAATTTATTTTTTCAGGTACCGTATTATTAAAATTAATATTTTTTTCTTACAATTTACAAAATATTCCAAAATATGCAAAGTAAGTTAAATATTCCTTAACCCACGAAATATTCTCAAATATTTAAAAGAACATTTTGCTACGAACTCAGAATTGAACGAATCGTCGTTAACATTTCTTACTCTCATAAGACTGCATAAGAGCTCAGTAACGATATGTAAAAACATATAAATCGGGTCTTTAATTATATTAAACAAACGTGTAACATCAAAAGGTTAAAAGTGTAAAAGCTATAAATACCTACGTGCAATTTAAATTAATGTATTATTATACGTTATATTCATCATGGGCACACACAGAAATTACCGTAACGATAATAATATTGTAAGTATTCGCGTATTATTTAAAAAAAAAACAAACTATGTAACGTGTCAATATCATTTCACGTAATAATATTTAGCGAATTCCCTACCTGTGTAAAATATTACGCTGGTAAATAATTTAACTTAATATTATCTAATTATTTTATTGTAATTAATTATCGTGGGGGGGCTGAATTAAATACCAGCTCTCAGAAGCGGAACTAAGGGGGGGGGGTATAGCCCCTCCATAAGCCGTGTCTATGTATACGTACTGTTTTACGGTTTTAGTTTTAGCTACAATGTTTCCAATAATTTATTTCACTCCTGAAACAAAGTTATCTAAAATGAACCTTAAATAAAAACATATTTAAAGAGGAGTACAGTGTCAGAAAATTGACTAAATGGGTAAGCCATAGATAATATAAATAAATAAGTATGCATTATAATGCAAATTATTTAGTTACTGCCTTTGCTCAAAATTCTAGGAGGATGCAGTTATCAGAATGGGCTTAATTATGTATAATACAGTATAATAATATATACTATATATAGTTACACGATATGCCAAGATGTAACTATTACATTCTCATTTAATTATTCAATCTTTTTTTTTTTTTTTTTTATGAATTTATATTTAAAATATTAAGTGCATTAAAATGCATACTGATGAAAATAATTTCTAATTTTTTTTTTTTTTTTGTGGGAGATAGAGTCAAACCTTTCCAGACTATTTCTCGAAAGTGAAATTTGAATAAATATAATAATTTTTATGAAGACCATTAGTAATACCTTTAAGTTGGCGGGATTATTGTACTATTGTGGCGGAACTGTTTTATGTTATGATTTTTTTATTTGTATACAATTGTAGAACTAAAGCGTTGCGTTTTGCGTGCATAATGTTTATATAGATAGTTTAAAAACAATTATGCGTACTTAAATATTTATTTTTTTTTTTAATTAGCTTAAAATATTTAAATTATTACAGCTTGACCATTAATAACAATATGTCATCAGACGCCTAAAACTATAACGAAACAAAATTTAAAAAAACATCAACAGGTAAAACAAACAACCATAAAATATGTAATGTGCCAAAAAAAAAAAAAAACTATAAAACAAATTACGTTCTATTAAGAAAATAGCAAATTTTATAAATTCTAACGTGGCAAGAATAACGAGTAATAGTCTCGAAATTATGAATATTAAAAGAGTCTATAGAAAAAATATTGCAGTTGTTGCGAAATACTTCAAAAAGATTTTGACGTGGAATAGTGAAAGAAGGACAATCCATGATGATACGTGTGAAGTCAAATTTAACCTCATCATCGTGTCGAGTACAAAAAGAGGAATTATTTAAGGATTAACGGTACGTATGAGTCAGAAGTAAATTATGCCCTAATCTAAACCTGGATAAACGAATAATGCTAGACCTGAAAAGAGACTTTCCAAGGAACCATGGTTGGAAAGAGATGATTGGTGTTAGGTGTCTATAGCAAGAAGCAAAATCAATTGCCTCTGACGACCATTTATATTTCCATGCATATTTGTAACTTTTCTTTAAAGAAGAAAGGAAATCGAAAGAAGAGATTTCAAAAATTGGACATCTTGTCTAGTGTGTAGTGGCTAGGGCAGGAAATTGACCGTTTCATTCCTTAATATCCCCGAATGACCAAGAACCCATAAAAACTCCCCTATAATCTCGTGTAATTACATAAAGTAAAAAACGGATTTTATTTGGAGTACTAGAGGAGGATTAAACGCATTTAACAAAAATGAATTGGTGAAAAATTGAAGAGCTAATTAGGAATCTAATACAATCAATATTTGTTAAAAATTTAGTGATTGAATTAAATTAAGGACTGTCATAATTCCATAACATTCTGTAGTGAATTAATATGAATAAACATGAACATAGGAATAAAAAAAGAAAAACCAGTTGAATCGTCCGAAACTCTATCAAAACTAAACACCAAACAGTAGTTAGGGAAGTTAGATTCCACAAACTCGGTGAAAAGAATATTGACGGAGAAGTTGGGGCATATTTACTCTAGAATTACTAAGTGTGAGACTCTGAAACAGTGGAATAATATGCACTTTCGGGAGAAACGCCAGAGCTTCAAAAGGAACATCAAAAATAATAAGACGGTTCCACGATAAAAAAAAAAACCCAAAGAAAAAAGAGGAATGATTATAGAAGCAATAGATGCGAGGATTAGAAAAGTTATTGAAATATACTTCCGACGAGTAATAAATACTGATTAATAATAGAATCCTGGGAATTAGCTAATTAGAGTTTTCCTGTAATTTAATGAGCACGAATTTCCCAAGGTGGACAGACACATTCGATTTCTATGCATGTATTGGGAACAGAGCGTACTGAACATTTACTTATGAATTTTTTATACGAAAGTTTTTTTTTTTTTTATGAATTACCATTAATGTAAATATAGTAACTTCAAATAAAATTCATGCGGGTTTTTATTTTAAACTCTGATCCTTTGATAAAATGTGTCCAATTTATCCCAGGGGTAAAATTTGAGGTATATAACAGGGTATGCTACATAATCAAGACTATATTTTACTCTGATCTTATAATTTTTCTGTGCCTGAAAAAAATGTTTTTTTTTTCTTTAATTGGTCTTAAGCATCGATAACTATGGCCATAAATTGTAGTAGGTGTAAAAAATTGTTTTTGTAATAATTCTATGGTAAAATATACATGGGCCTATTGAAAATTTGTTTAGCCTGCCTAGTTGTAAGCATACCTTTAAAACAATTTAAATGACGCCTTTGATTTATACCTAAATCCTATACAGATATATAATATATTTTAACTATTGTTCCTGTTCTTTATCGCGTGTATATTAACTCAACATTTAATTATTTGAAAAAGCATACCAATTATGCAGCTACAATAATACACTATAACTTGCTCATTAACAAACATAACTATGCAATTTTATGCAAGGAATAAAATGAAAAAGAAAGTGGAAAGTTCATTAAAAAAAAAAAATCACCAAGTTCAAGATTAAAGCAATACAACGTGTAGGTCGAATAATGAATATTATACACGAGTTACAGATAAATACATAATATTATTGCATTGTGTACTTGAGCTGATCAATTGGCAATACATACGAAACATTAAATTGCTGATAATACACCTTCCCGATGTACCCGTAGATAAAAGTATACACAATTTTAACGCGGTATATTATTATTTTCGTATGCAGTCACCCAGAAATTATTGCGTGTTTATTATTTTATGTATAGCAGTTATGCATGTTTGTTTTTATTTAGGTACACGATAACGGATACATATTAATTAATACAGTGTACACTATACACCTATACCTCGTCCAACATCATGAATTATTGATATCTGAAATATAACACAAAATTATAAAACTATAAAACCAATAGGTTGGTATATTAATTCTTTTGAATTTGATCACGTTATTAAAATAATTATAAGGTTATTTTATAATAAAGAATCGTAAGTACATAATTAAATTTATGTGTATACCTACGCTATTTTA